TAATATTGAACAAGAAATAATAATTTTAGACTGATTTAATATTTTTTTAAATTAGATTTGATCACAATATAATTTGATCCAAAATATATATTCCAGATTAGATTATAAATTGGATCTAATCTAGTTAGAATACTAAATCAAATATTAAAAAAATACTAAAAATTGTAGTAAATATAAAGAAACAAGAAAAAAAATACAACTTTTTTATAATATTGAAGAAAAAGTCAAAATTTTTATATAAAAATTGATCAAAAAAGAAATTAAAAATTTTTTTCATATATTATTTTAAATATTAACAAAGATAAAAGATTGATCTTGAAATATACAGCTAGAATATTGAAAATATTTTACTATTTTAATAAAGTTAAACTATCAGATACTAATAATTAATCTGAACTCAATTAAATTTTATCAAAAATTATTTTTTGTAAACAGTAATAAATTCTCATAAACAAAATCTGAATTGAAAAATTTAGAATCACCTAATTCTTGTCATTGCAATAGTAAGTACATGACAATTTGTTGTTTATGTTATATAACCTCTCTATTATGCACTTTCATGTGTCATCAAGAAAGAAATTATAATAATCATATATATAATATATATATAACAAATTAAATGTATTACAGTAATAATTATAAGTATCTGAATGTTCTAACTGTTATAAATCATGCATATTATTTTAAAAATTTCTGAAAATCAAGAATAATACAAATACTATTTATTTATATTTTTTAAAGTTGATATAATTCTATATTAAAAGTATTTTATATTCATAAACTTTCATGCTCTAAATATAATGAAACAGGCATTTTAAGATATAATAACTTGATGTCTAATAATCAAATTTGAGCGAAAATACTATCATTTGACTTAGTTAGTTAAGATGAATCAAACTTGAAATACTAGCAGAATTGCAATAAACTTCAAACCTGGTAATAAAAGATAAAAAAATTTAGTATAATAAAATGCAAATATCTCTATATGCAGTGAAGCAAATTAAATAAATTTGATACTATTAAAAAGATCTAGTCAAGGCACATCTAATAGTATTAAAATTATTGAATTTGATTTATTAGATACAGAGATATCAAGACTCAAAAAAAATGTACAAAATCATTTAAAATTGTACAAAATTTCTTTATCATTCTGCAAAGAAAATAAAAATTTGCAAAATTAAAAGATTTTGATACATAAGAAAGATCTAATTAAGATGCATCTAATAATATTAAAATCATTGAATTTGGCTAACTAGATGTGAAGATATTGTGTCTCAAATACAATGTACAAAACTGTACAAAATATTTTCACAATTTTGTATGTTGTTTTTGAGATGTGATATCTCTACATCTAGTTAGCCAAATTTAATGATTTTGATATCATTAGATGCACCTTAACTAGACCTTTCTTATATATCAAAATCTTTTAATTTTGCAAATTTCTATTTTCTTTGCAGAATAATAATGAAATTTTGTGCAATTTTGAATGATTTTATACAGTGTTTTTGTGATGCGATATCTCCGTATCTAATGAATCATATTCAATCATTTAGATACCATTAGATGCGCCTTGACTAGATCTTTCTAATGGTATCAAAATTATTTAATTTGTTTCACAGCATGCAGAGATATTTGCATTTTATTAAACTAAATTTTTTCTTCACCTTTCATCACCAGTTTCGAAATTTACTGCAATTCTGCTAGTATTTCAAATTCCCGATGATGGTAGTATTTGTATTTGAATTTGATCACTGGGTGTCGAGATATTACATCCTAAAGAGATGTTTCATTTTTTGATGATCATTTTTCATTTGAAATTGTTATCAAAAAATGAAACAGTCCCTTTAGGATGTAATATCTCAACACCCAGTGATCAAATTTGAACACAAATATTACGATTCGATTCATCTCGACTAAATGAGTCAAATGCGATCACTAGACATCAAGATCTTATGTCCTAAAGTGACCGTTTTATTTTTGTTAAGGTCAAAAAAATGAATTCGACGTAATATCTCGACGTCTAGTGATCGGATTCGAACAAAAATACTACCATTTGATTCGTCTTGACTAGACAAATCAAATGGCATTATTTTTGTTCGAATCCGATCACTGGATGTCAATTATTAGATTATTAGATATTGAGATATGTGTTTTAGTAAAATTTTAATAAACATAAAACACCCGATGTAGAAGTTCTACCAACTTTAAAAGGAGTACTTCGATGATCAGCATTTATGTTATTCTTTTTTAGGATGATACGCATGATCGTTACTGTAATAAAAATCAAATTTTTGCGTGATATTTTGGTGTCTTTCATGATTATATTATAACTTGCCGAAGTCCACGTCAATAATTTCGGAATTTCTATTTTGTACGTCATTTTAGAATTCCAAAACGACGTACGTTAATTTGGAATTCGAAATGACGTACGTCATTTCGGAATTTCTATTTGGTACGTCAATTTGGAATTCTGAAATGACGTACGTCAACTCGGAATTGACGTGAATCCCGAAACGACGTGTACAGCATCACCAAGATGCTCGCCCAATTCGCGAATTTCCTCCGATATTTTAGAATACATTGACTCGGTGCGCTTTTCGAGCTGACGTTTTCTTTGAAGAGGCAATCGAACTCCTGTCAATGTTTGAGTATCGCCGGTATAATCTTGTGGTGTTTTGGTGGAACCGGACCTTCGAGAGCCAGCATTCCTATCACGACCAACTCAATGGGTGGTTGCTAATTTTGCTTGAGAATTATGTTTGATTGTCGTTTGGTTATTTGCTTGATTCCTATTTGGAATCATGTACGTTTTTCGTTTGATTTGACTGCGAGGGGGTAGCTTGTTTTTATAGTGATTCTTCTCATCATGTATCGGAATAAGTGTGAATACGTGCTTTATAATTGATCAGACTGGCAATAATTAAAAAACAGTTGAAATGCAAGATTAGTACACCCACTCATACCCCACACCAGTGGAAGTTAATGTTAGAAATTGATAAACTTTATTAATAAATTAATGCAAATCTCACAACAGAATAATATCATTCGAATATGCCGAATAGTGATAGACTTAAATGAATACTAATAATTCTTTCTCCGATTTTTGAAGCAGATGCGAATATCTGGAGATATAGCCTCGATTCTCCCTACCGGAATAAGACACCAGCTCATAAGACCGACTATCCGAGTCATGGAGAAAAATTCACTCTATCCATAACCCGGTTGGATTTTTCCCAGGCTCACGACCTGTCAATATTGTCCATGTTATGCTCTAACAGCGACAATTTCATTCTTGTCATTTAATTTTACTGGGAGTAATTATTTTTAGTTTGATAAAATAACTGTGATAAACACGATCACGTATTCACAACGCTTTAGCGCATCCCCTATTTTGGATTATCCCTTAATCTGTATTCCAGGGAATTTTAAATTTTTTGGTAGTTTTTATTATCATCAAAAGCCCCTTAATATGGTGCAGGAACTCTTAAATCAACAATATGTTTCATGTTAAACTTCTTAAAGCAAAATTTGACCGGTAATAGTACATGTATCAAGAAAGTCCTTTTCAATAATATTACCGGTTAAATTTTGGTTTTACTTCTCAGTTAAGAAGTTGATAGAATTTTTAATATGAAACATATTGTCGATTTAAGAGTTCCTACACTATATAATATTTCAATTTTCTATTAAAAAGTGAAAAAATTTTTTGCCAATCAAAATTGATAAGTACACTGCGCACACAATGAAATATACTAAAAAAAATTTTCACCACTATTTTAGAAATAAAATTCCGTGAAGAAAAGTCTCGCATTCTTTGTCTAACTAAATCGGAATTTAATTTTTGCTTAAACGATCATCTCTAAATGCACACATATGAAAATCAACCTGAGAGTGCATTAGAGAATTTGTGCATTCGACTCTCGATATAACGACCATGCAGATCCTATTGTAAACAATATAAGTTCAATAGAATTTGCATGGTCGTTATATCGAGAGTCGACTATAGAGAGTATTTACTTAGTGATATTATTAACTTGGGACCAAACCAAAGTGTGCATTTATAGAATAGAAACATAGTGTGTATTTAGAGAGAGTTGATTGTATATAAATGACGAATAAAACATTTACTTTTAACGTTAGTCCTGTATTATTTCTGGAATGGCCCAATTCCCAAAACCGGTATTGTCACTTTACTATCGTTATGCACAGTAAACAGTTACTGGACTGGAACTAAGTCTGGTCCAGTGGCACAGCATTAGACTATGTCCACTTGACAACACTAGCCAGAACATATCCAGTATAATTTATTTTTAATATGCTTCGATTTTCTATAAAATATTTCAAGACATTAAAAATTTTGTTTTACATGGAACAATCAGAATTGGTACGTATCTACTAATAACATGAACAATTGCTTAGATTAAACTAAAATATAGACACCAGGGCATAATGAAATTACTAAAAAAAAAAAACGTTCAAGACATTTTAGAAATAAATAATTACGCAGAGAAAAGCCTCGCATTTCTTGTTTACTTAAATTACTTATTTGATGACTTAAACCTAATTCATGTATGACAAAACTACATGCACATTATTACATAGCGATATATGCGCCTCAATGAAAATCACCTTATCGTTACTTTATTAACAATTGCACCATACTGATACGCCTAAATTTTTTGAATGTAATCAGAATTCAAAATTGGGAATTCTTATAGAGCGCATGATTAAAGAGATTAAAGATAGAGACGCGGTATATGCTGTGACCTCAGCTTTATTCATGATTTCTATCTTATTGAATAATCACAAACGGAACTAATCAGGCTTATGTTCATATGAAGAATAGGGCATTCGCTATTTCGAGTTCTTCCTCTCTCTCATCTATAAAAGAGTGATTCAAACTCGAAGAACAAGATACAGAAAACATTTCACATTCAAAAAAGATTACATATTTCATATTCTACAAGATCCAATATTTCAATACCGAACAATTTAGAAAAATGAACAAGCAAACGTCTTCCATCTTTTTCTTGGTTACTTTGACGATCTTTGCCTTTGTATTCTTTCCATCGGCCAATGCCACGCCTACCCCAAAGACGATTGAAAAGAGAGCCGTATGCCCTCAGATAGTCGACTATTGCACATTTGAACCTCAAAGCGGAAATGCAGAACAAATAGTTCTCGGCCAAATTACTTTCACACAATTCACCGATTGCAAAGTGAGAATCACTGGTCAACTCAATACAGTTCATGGCAGTTCAAAAAACTACGATGTCCATATAGTCAAAAGCGTCGCTACTAAAGATAGTCCTATCTTTGATATGGACTTTATTCTCAAGGATCAAATTGATGTTCCTTTCGAAACTACTTTACCAGTTTCACCCGTCGTTCCTTTTACAGATCTCAAAAACTATATATGTATAGTGATGTACGAAGATAGTAAAATAGACGATCAGGTTCTTGGAACTGCCCAGATCAAACAGGTTTAGAACAAACCCTTTACTTTTCTTGTACTATAAGAGATTTATTTTACTACTTTCTGTCACGTTTTATGCACATCTTTGAATTAAATATACCTTTGAGAAAAAGTGAAAAGTGAATTGCTGCTGGAATCTGTATTCAGATACTAATTACTCGTGCAATATTGAGAATCTGCTCTGCCCCACAACATGAGTAGTGAATGCATTATATACCTCATTCGGCATATTTGCCTTCCACTTTCTCATTTATGTTTGCTCCCAAAATTGCCCAAGTAATGGAATTACTACTTTTGCAAACTTGACATTCGGAATGAGTAAATCTATTTCTAATGCTTCAGTTTTTCACAATTGAAACTGACTAAACCTGTTTTATAAAACGGGTTTCAACTAATCGAGTCAATAAATTAGTTTACATAAATACGCTTTCAAATAAACTTGTACGAAAATGTTCCCATAAATGTGCTCACATGAGTGAGAATCTTGTTTAGTTCAGACGCTAAGAAATAAATAAAACCTGTCTGGCTGTTTAAGTTGTGCTTCATCGAATTTTATTCATAAATAATAATTATTGATATAAAGATGCATTAAAGAATCACAAACAACAAATATAAAGGTGTACTGTGAATTTTCCTGATCGTTTATTTAATTGAAAAGTGAAAATTCTTGAAGCTGCCCCTTTCTTTCTTGCGGTCATAGTTGGGAAGCCCGAAGTAAAGATTTTTGATAATTTGACCAATTATAGATATGTCCTCTCCTGTTATATTGCATCAAAAGAAAATATTGCGCAATCTTCTGTTATCTGAATTAAAAAAAGAATAGAAACTACTGGTTCTGTAAAAAGATTTACCAAATCTGGTTGCCCACAATTTTTTACAGACTGCAATGAATGTAATACATATATTTCGAGTGGTGAATGTCCTAATGCTATATCAATTCAAAATATTTACAAGTAATACTAAAATTAATGTAAGTGATAGAACAAGGTGATTTGGTCAGACAAGTCTAAGTTTATGATATATGGGTCAGACAATCATGAATATTGTTGGAAACGCAAAAATAAACCACTAGATGCCTGTCATGTAAAACCTACAGTCAAATTTGGTGACGGAGGTATTATGTTCTGGAGTTTTTTTCCTTCCTTCAGTACGCATTTTTTGCACCATGGATAAGGAATTATACTGCGAAATTTTGAATGATCACTTGTTAGGGACTATTGAGCATACGAGTTGAATAAGAATAATATCATTTCCAACAGGGTAATAATCGGAAACACACAACTAATTTACTGGAGTAATGGTTTTATGATAATCATATTGATATATTGGAATGGCCTCCGAAATCTCCTGACCTCAACCCTATAGAACATCTTTGGAATAAGAGGATATACGTTTGAGAAAATTAGAAAATCCAGTTCATACTCAAGATGAGTTATGGTAAGCTATTCAAAAAATATGGATAGAAATGGATCATGACTTTTTAACCAATTGAAAGTATGCCTAATAATTGAGGCTAAAGAATAGTTTATTTAAATTCATAAATGTTTAGTCACTAGTGATTTAATATCAGCTTTAAATTATTTACATCATAAACAGCCAAAAAATACGCATCATGTTTTGCAAAATTTGTGAGTTTTAGATAGTTGTATCGGTATATAACGTTATTGAATTTCTAATTTTGTTTTTTGTCGCCTCGGAAAGTAACGCCCAATTTTTTTAAAAAATAAACTTGAAGATATATATTCGTTTTTTTCATTTCTGCTTTATATACATAAAATTTTTTATCATTAACTAATACATTACTCGCCTTCTATATGGCTTCAATATTACGTCGATTTCTTACAGCATCGAGCTCACAGCCTTCCCTAAACTAACACATTAAATTTTGACTCCCAGTTTTTGAAAAGCTTTTACACTTTACAATGGTTTCTGGATATTTTCTATGAAGCCAGGTCTGTGAGAATACGCTAATTGGTTCATAATCATTAATATCTTCTCTTGAACCTATTTCGTGATCTTTTTAGAATTATGGTTAGGGTTAAGCTGAAAAGCCATATTTTTCAAATTGAATGAACATAATATATTATAAAAAGGATGAAACTACCTTAAAGAATCTTCGGGTAAATTTTTATAAAGATTTTTTTTGACAATGTCACGAAATGGCTTAGGTTGTCTTTGTTTAGCTTCTTGGAAATGTGCAATTTTTTCTTGCTTGTTAAGCGCTTGTGACCTTCCAGACCCTGGTAAATTTTCTTTTTTTCTATTTCTCTTGTATTCGGCAAGAGACCATTATCCCGTCATCAGGTCACGGCTCATTTTTCTTGCAACTCGCATAATGATACCTGACGAAACTATTTTCATGATGACGAAACATTTCGTCACGTCATTCGTCAGACGAAACCCCTGACG